AGGAGATCAAAGCAGTCATCCTAAATATCCCAACAAACAAGAGCCCAGGGCCAGACGGCTTCCCAGGGGAATTCTACCAAATATTTAATGAATAATTAACACTTATCCTCCTGAAACTGTTCCAAAAAATAGAAATGGAAGGAAAACTTCCAAACTCATTTTATGAGGCCAGCATTACCTTGATCCCAAAACCAGACAAAGACCCCATCAAAAAAGAGAATTATAGACCAATATCCTTGATGAACACAGATGCAAAAATTCTCACCAAAATACTGGCCAATAGGATCCAACAGTACATTAAAAGGATCATTCACCACGACCAACTGGGATTTAATCCTGGGCTGCAAGGTTAGTTCAACATCCACAAATCAATCAATGTGATACAATACATCAATAAAAGAAAGAAAAGAACCATATGATACTCCCAATAGATGCTGAAGAAGCATTTGACAAAGTACAGCATCTTTTCTTGATCAAAACTCTTCGAAGTGTAGAGATAGAGGGTACATACCTCAATATCATCAAAGCCACCTATGAAAAACCCACAACGAATATGATTCTTAATGGGGAAAAACTGAGAGCTTTTCTCCTAGGGTCAGGAACACAGCAGGGGTGTCCATTATCACCACTGCTACTCAACATAGTACTAGAAGTCCTAGCCTCAGCAATCAGATAACAAAAAGAAATTAGATGCATCGGAATTGGCAAAGATGAAGTCAAACTATCACTCTTTGCAGATGATATGATACTTTATGTGGAAAACCCAAAAGAATCCACTCTAAAACTGGTAGAACTTGTACAGGAATTGAGTAAAGTGTCAGGATATAGAATCAATGTACAGAAGTCAGTTGCATTTCTATACACCAATAATAAGACAGAAGAAAGAGAAATTAAAGAGTCCATCCCATTTACAATTGCACCCCAAACCATAATATACCTAGGAATAAACCTAACCAAAGAGGCAAAGAATCTGTACTCAGAAAACCATAAAATACTCATGAAAGAAATTGAGGGAGACACAAAGAAATGGAAAAATGTTCCATGCTCCTGGATTGGAAGAATAAATATTGTGAAAATGTCTGGGCTACCTAGAGCAATCTACACATTTAATGCAATCCCTATCAAAATACCATCAATTTTTTTCAAAGAGATGGAACAAATAATCCTAAAATTTATATGGAACCAGAAAAGACCTCAAATAGCCAGAGGGATGCTGAAAAAGAAAGCCAAAGTTGGTGGAATTACAATTCCAGACTTCAAGTTATATTACAAAGCTGTCATCATCAAGACAGTATGGTACTGGCACAAAAACAGACACATAGATCAATGGAACAGAATACAGTGCCCAGAAATAGACCTTCAACTCTATGGTCAACAAATCTTCGACAAAGCAGGAAAGAATGTCCAATGGAAAAAAGACAGCCTCTTCAACAAATGTTGTTGGGAAAATTGGACAACCACATGCAGAAAAATGAACTTGGACCATTTCCTTATACCACACATGAAAAGAGACTCAAAATGGATGAAGGACCTCAATGTCAGAAAGGAATCCATCAAAATCCTTGAGGAGAACACAGGCAGCAACCTCTTAGACCTCACCACAGAAACTTCTTCCTAGAAACATTGCCAAAGGCAAGGAAAGCAAGGGCAAAAATGAACTATTGGGATTTCATCAAGATCAAAAGCTTTTGCATAGCAAAGGAAATAGTCGACAAAACGAAAAGACAACTGACAGAATGGGAGAAGATATTTGCAAACGACATATCGGATAAAAGGCTAGTATCAAAAATCTATAAAGAACTAATCCAACTCTACATCCAAAGAACAAATAACCCAATCAAGAAATGGGCAGAGGACATGAACAGACATTTCTGCAAAGAAGACATCCAAATGGCCAACAGACACATGAAAAAGTGCTCAACATCACTGTGCATGAGGGAAATACAAATCAAAACTACAATGAGATACCACCTCACGCCAGTCAGAATGGCTAAAATGAACGAGTCAGGAAACGACAGATGTTGGCACGTATGCAGAGTAAGGGGAACCCTCCTACACTGTTGGTGGAATGAAAGCTGGTGCAGCCACTCTGGAAGGCAACATGGAGGTTCCTCAAAAAGTTGAAAATAGAGCTACCTTATGACCCAGCAGTTGTACTACTGAGTATTTACTCTAAAGATACAAATGTAGTGATCTGAAGGGGCACATGCACCCGTATGTTTATAGGGGCAATGTCCACAATAGCCAAACTATGGAAAGAACCTAGATGTCCATCAGCAGATGAAAGGATAAAGAAGATGTGATATATATATACACATACACACACACATACATACATATATACATATATATGAATATGAATACTATGCAGCCATCAAAAGAAATGAAATCTTGCCATTTGCAATGACATGGGTGGAACTAGAGGGTATTATGTTGAGTGAAATAAGTCAATCAGAGAAAGACAAATATCATATGATCTCCCTGATATGAGGAATTTGAGAGACAGAGTGTGGGGCTTAGGGGGTAGGGAAGAAAAAAATGAAACAAGATGGAATTGGGAGGGAGAGAAACCATAAGAGACTCTTAATCTCACAAAACAAACTGAGGGTTGCAGGGGGGGAGTGGGTTATGGAGAGGGTGGTTGGGTTATGGACATTGGGGAGGGTATGTGATATGGTGAGTGCTGTGAAGTGTGTAATCCTGACGATTCACAGACCTGTACCCCTGGGGAAAATAATACATTATATGTTAATAAAAATAATTAATAAAAAATAAATGGGACACTGGGAGTGAACATTTTGCAGAAAATGGGGTGTCTGGAAGAGATTTCTTGAGAGAAAGATTCTGCAAGAAAGAGTTCATCAAGGAGCTGGTGGACCATCCTGAGTCAGGTGTGAAAAATCAGCCAGAAGATACTAGCATCGTTAAAACTACTATGTATATAGGTGGAGGGAACTTGATCTTCTTTATCCATGAAATACAAAATGTGGAAACCAAAACAAGAAATTTACATAAAAAACTGGTGCAAAATGAATGAAAACAACAGGACCTCACAAGAAACAAATTAACCCTAAGAACACTCAGAGTAATAGGATTCTCACCAGAGCAATTTTCACTGAGGATTAAACCTGTAATAAGAAATTACTAAGTACACAGAAAAAAAAAATGCCATGAGAATGAGTTTGTAGACTTAATAGACAAAACAATTGCAGTACAAAACTGTATATTCTGGAAAATTTAAGAGAGACTCCCAAATGAATGTGTTTAATATCCTTAAAAAGATAAAAGTAAGAAAATAATACAGTAGGCTAGGATTATTAAAAATAGATGAAGGTCTTAAATGTAAGATTTGATACCATAAAGCTCTTAGAAGAAAACATAGGTAGTAAACTCCTTGACCCAGGTCTTAGCAATGACTTTCTGAATCTGACACCAGAAACAAAAGCAAAAAAAGCAAAACTAAACAAGTGGGACTAAATTAAATTTGAAATGTTCTGGACAGCAAAGGAAATCATCAACAAAATGAAAAGGAACCTACCGAATGGGACAAATATTTTCAGTCCATATATCTGATAAGCAGCTAATATGCAAAATATATAAAGAACTCATACAACTCAATAGCAAAAACATTTTTTTGATTAAAGAATGGGCGGAAGATTTGAATAGACATTTCTCCAAAAAAGGCACACAGATGGCCAGTAGGTACAAGAAAGATGCTCAACATCACTAATCATCAGAGAAATACAGATCACAACCACAATGAGCTATCATCACGTCACACCTGTTAGAATGGCCAGTATCAAAAAAACAAGGAATAACAAGTGCTAGTGAACCCATGTGCACTATTGGTGGGAATATAAATTGGTGCAGTCACTATGGAAAACATTTTGGAGGTTCCTAAAAAAACAAAAAATAGAACTACTGTATGATCCTCCAATTCCACTCCTGGGTATTTAGCTGAAGAAAATGAAAACACTAGCTCAAAAAGATATATACACCCCTATCCTATAATTATTGCAACATTTTTTACAATAGCCAAGACACGGAAGACACCTAAGGGTCCATCAATGGATAAATGGATAAAGAAACTGTGGTGTATATACACAATGAAATATTCAGCCACAAAAATGAATGACATATGTGGACCTTGAGGTCATCGTGGTAAATGAAATAAATCATACAGAGAAAGAGAAATACTATATGATCTCTCTTATATGTGGAATCTCAAAGGTCAGAAAAACAAATAAAACACAAAACTCATATAGATACAGAGAATAGATTGGTGGTTGTGAGAGGTGAGGATGGGGTGGGAGAAATGGGTGAACCATTTTTGTTTTATTTTTTGTTATTTTGTTATTTTTTTGTTTTATTTTGTATTTTTTGCTTAGTTTTTGTTTTCTTTTAAATCAATTAAATAGATAATAATAAACAAATGATGAGGAAAGACCCTTACGATTTATTGTAAGTGATAAAAGCCAGACATGGATCAACATATATAATTTACTACCATTGGGTAAAGAACAAAAATGGGGAAGGAAGGATATCTCTATCTCTCTATGTCTCTCTATCTAAATATATGTGTTTTTTTCTTATTTGCTTGCATATAAAAAAGATGTGGAAATAGGCATCAATGATAATAATACCAAATAGTTTTGAATGCTTTCTCCAAATTCAAGTCCTTTGTTAGTCTTTTACATGTATTATCTTACTGCAAGTCCATGGGTCCCAAGCACCTTCTGTCTAGTTTTTGTTTTTAATTGAAGCAAACACATAAAAATCACGTTTTAGGTAATTGGCCCTGCTACTGTGGCCATACCCATTTAGAATAAAAATCAGCATCTTGGCAAAGAACAGACATAAGGAAGTCCAGGAGTTTATGCTATCATTAGAAACTCATTCTGCTTTAGGAACACTATGTATTAGATAATGTAGTAATGCTCAATTGATCCAATCAGATTCTGTAGCAGATAGCATTCCCTTGGAAATAGACTCTGAGAATCTGAGTTTGTATGCAGCATATTTATTAGTGTGTGTTCTTGGGGAAAAAAAAATCTATGAGGAGTGTGGAAAGCAAAATTAGGAATAAGGGGAAATTCAATTGTGATGCTCCTGTAACAGAGGGTTCGGCAAATCACATGGGGAGCTCTGAAACTGGATGGTGCTTCTGAGTTGTCCTCACTGAGGCAAGAGGGCTGGCCCATCAAATGCCAACCACACTGACCAGTTAGCAGATAATGAGCCTCCCTCAGGCTGGGAGCATAACCTTGGGTGTGTGGCTGGTTCCTTGTCACAGGGTGATTTCCGAAGAGAACTGAAATGGTGTGTGAAATGTCAGCAGGTGACACTCCTAGGAGGTGGAGGGATGGGTGCTTGATCCTGAAGGGAGATCTGGACCGTACACCATGACATCACCTTTAGTCTTAGGGAATTGTGAATGCAGGAGGCACTGAGAAAAGATACAAGTGGTAGAAGCAGAGGGGATAAAGGAAGTGATAAACTGAGTCACAATAGTGTTAGTGTCATTACAATATTAACAGCAAGGTAATTAGGTTGCTACAATAGTTTCTGGACATCTTGAGAGACTTTTGTATCTTTAACAATGATAAATGATAGATCTTCATAAACAGCCACCGAAATTGTGGTGACAGCTGGATTATCCCTGTTTCCTGCAATCTGAAAAAGTGAACCCAAAAAACATAGGTCTTATTCAAGGGTATTTATAAGAATCGTGAAGAAAACATTCTCTGGAAAATAAAAAAAAATTTAGAGAGATTAGGAATTTTGCTTACTTGCTTAAAAAAATTACTGTTGACCCTTGAACAACGTGGGGGTGAGGAGCACTGACCCCTGCAGAGTTGAAAATCTGTGTAGAACTTTCTATTTCCCCCAAATTAGCCGCCCCCTAATAGCCTCCTCTTGCCTAGAAGCCTTACTGATAATATAGTTGATTAACACATATTTTGTATGGTATATGTGTTATATAGTATATTCTTATAAAAAAGTAAGCTAGAGAAAAGAAAATGTTATTAAAAAATCCTAAGGAAGAGAAACTACATTTACAATATTGTAGTGTAAAAAATCCACATGGAAGTAGGTTTAGAACCATGCAGCTCAAATTCATGTTGTTCAGGGGTCAATCATTACAATTAAAAATTTTTTTTTCATAGTTCTGTTTAAATGCAGAGGTAGAAGATGTAAAATTGTAGAAGATGTAAAACCTCTGTTTAAATGCAGAGGTAGAAGATGTAAAATCAGTAACATATAAAGTCTGATTTGTCCATTTTCATTATTCACTCAGTTTTTATATTATGTTTACCTGGATAATCTAGAATGTTTTCACAAATTAATTCAAGGCTAATTTTCAAAAATACCCTCAAACAGCAGTTTTGTTGCTAATAATATATCATAAGTTGTTCTTACCTTAAATTACTCGTTTACTGGTTTCACAGGCAATCCCCGAAAATGTGATGGGGCAGGAACACAGACATTGTCCATCCAGCAGAATCACTGTACCTCCATTTTGGCACGGGTCACATTTTCCCACATTGAATTCCTTGATGTATTCGTCAATGGCATGTTCCAAATTTTGTTTCTTTAGATATGCGTCTTTTATGCGTACTGGAACCAGATTATGTATAGGAGATAGCTACAAGAAAGCAAACCATTTAATTTTAGGGTTTTTTCTACTGATGGGGCTTGTGCAATACCATTCACTGAATTTTTTTTTTATCAATTCGTTAATTCAACAGAAGCTTATTTAATTATTCGTATTGGCAGATATCATGTTAGTCATAGTAGTGACCAAAACCAGGCATAACCTCTGTGATCATGGAGATCACATCATGGAGGTAAGAAGACGGATAGTAAAATAATCATACAGACTGGGGCATCTGGGTGGCTCAGGTGTTTGAGCCTCTGACTCTTGGTTTTGGCTCTGGTAGGGCTCTGTGCTCTGTGGGAAGTCAGCTTGAGATTCTCTCTCTCCCTCTGCCCCTCCCCCATCTCTCTTTCTCTAAAATAAATAAATGAATCTTTAAAAAAAAAAAAAAGACTTTAGTAGTGACCAAAACTAGGCATGATTTCTATGATCATGGGGATCACACTGTGGAAATGAGAAGACTGATATTAAACCGATCATACAGATAAACTCAAAATGGAAGCTATGGTAGGTGCTATATGGGATGGGTAAATATGTTTTAAAAATGCACAACCATGGATTTAAATGTTTCACAAGATCATGTATTGATGCTATTTGTGAATTGTTTTGCTGTCTTTCCTGTTCCTCTTCTCTTCTACTAGGTAGCCAAGGGCTCGCTATCTCTTGCTGACATGGAGGGTTTGGGTGTAAGACCAAGAACAGAAAGCTCCCAAAGGCAAATTCTTTACTGCCCCTAACCCCCTGCCCAAAAGCCTGAACTCACTGAGAAATTTTTGCAGGGAGAGTATTTTAATATCAAATTTAATTAGACTTAAAGAAAATGAAGTAAAATGATTTATTCTGTACACTTAAATTCCTGGAGTAAGATACACAGTTGTTACAACTGATGGGAAGCTTGGGAAGTAGGGAAGCTTGGAAAGGCTTTCCTGAGAAAATGGCCCTTAAGCTGAGATTTGAGAGTTTGAGGGTGCTGGGACAGAAAGAAGAATATTCCAGTCATACAGAAGTTCTATGGGGGAGACCATAACATATATTGAAAGTGTGTATCATATGCCTATGTAGTTGCCTTCAATTGCATGACTCTAAAGAGCTATTTGAGTAAATAAATCATTGGAAATTGAGGCCCTTGCATGGCATAACACTTTGAAATAGAAGGCCACAAAATTTAAAAGAAATTGGAATCCAAAGACTCAAGAAAGAGGAGATAAAAAGAAAATACCAGGAATTCCTGTATAGGAGTAATGATGGATTAAACAGTATCAACTGATTTTTTTTTTTCCTCTGAGGACAATGACAAAAGATGAACAAATAAACCAAAAGTAAAAATCTGCTTGATCGCCCTGGAGAACTAATGAGACTACTTATTGGAATAAGATCTGGGAGGAGGTGGAAATGCAGTGAGGTGAACCTACTGTTTTTGGGCCACAGTCCCCTTGACACATTTCCTAATTTGGGAATAGGCAGTAGAGGGGCTGAGGTAAAGTAGCACAAATTACTGGGCTGGGGAAAAAAGGTTGGTATTCAGGAACAGCAAAGGAAAACAACACATGCTTTGTTGGGACCCAAAGGACTACAGCCCTAGAAGTAAGAAGGAATTGGAAGTGGGGTAGCTCTGGCAAATACTGCAGTCTGGTTTGCATTAGAATAAACTTGAGGGCACCTAGGTGGCTTATTTGCTTAAGCATCTGACTCTCGAACTCGGCTCAGATCTTGATCTCAGGGTTGTGAGTTCAAGTCCCTCTTTGGGCTCCATGCTGAGTGTGGAGTCTACTTCAAAAATAAAAATTAAAAAAAAAAAAACCCACACAATAATCTTGAAACATTGTAACCCTAGAAACAAATAAAATCATCTCAGGCCTCAAGCTAACAATTTTTAAAGTATAGTATCCAGCCCCTAATAAAAATAACTAGGTACACAAGGAAACAAGGCAACATGAAAGAGAACCGGTAGGAATACCAGAAACGAGAAGCAGAGCTGAGAGAATGCCATCGTTAAGTGACCAGACTTTTATATGAGCAGGGGGAATAAAAGAAGAGATCAACAATTTTAGCAGGAAACTGGAAATTATTTTTTAAAATAGAGGATTTGAAAAAAAATAGAACTATTATAAGTTGATATTATAATATTCCAATTAGAGGATTGGTTACATAGCAACTGTGATACAAATGAAGCAAAGTTAAGAAACTGAAATATAGCACAGAAGAAAATACTGACAGCGAAGCATAAAGAGATAAAAGACAAGGAAATACAGAAAGAGGAAACATAAAAGACAAGAGTGAGAAAGTGAAAGACCCACATAGTTTGAGTCTCAGAAGGAGAAACTATTTAAGAAGCAATATTTGAAGAGCTCATGGCTGAGAATGAAACAAGCCTGTGAAAGACAACAAGGTAACCCAGGGATGAGAAGCAAGGTGACAATTTTTTCTTTTTCACACCTAGGCATATCAGAGTAAAATTGCTAAAACAAAACAAAACAAAACAACCCACACCAAAACCCAAAACCCAAAAACCAAAAAATAAAGTACATCTTAAAATAATCTTTTTTTCTTAAGATTTTATTTTTAAATCATCTCCACCCAACATGGGGTTCAAACCCACAACTCTGAGATCAAATGCGCATGCTCTACTGACTGAGCCAGCCAGGGGCCCCAAATCTTCGAATCATCTCAGTAAAAAAGCCATAGTACTTTGAAAGTAGACTGATACCTGATTGTAACAGATAAGATCAATAACACAAATTCTTCTAGGACAATGAGATATTCAAAAGAGATTTTTAAAAAGATGACCTTGAAACTTCTATCATACACACACACAACTAGATTGACTGTAGAAACAAAAGTAAAAACAAAACAATAAGGCTTCTGGAAGATAGTATATAGAAGATTATCTTCAAGACCTTGAAGTAAAGAAAGATTTAAATAGGACACAACAGCATTAACTATAGTGGAAAGAAATACACAAAATCTACACTATAATTCCTGACATGATGTACTGAAAAGGACACAGCATCACTTCTGTGATATTCTCACCAAAATGCATAACCTTAATCTTCTCTAAGCCTAAATTGAGAGACCTTTGACATAACAGGTGACCAAAACTCATCAAAACATGTCAAGTAAAAAAAAAATGTCAAGGTCATGAAAGATAAGAAAAGTCTGAGAAAATGTCCCAGGATGGGGGGAACTAAGGGGACATGACAACTGATTGCAATGTAGGATTTTGATTGGATCTTACCAAAAGAAAAAGGATATTAGGGGAAAAAACTGGTGAAATTTAAATAAGGTTAGACAGTGTTACTTGTCTGATTTGATCAACTGTATGATTGTTATGTAAGTTGTTAACATTCAGGGCTTCTGGTTTATAGGGTGTACGTGAACTCTGTGCTATTTTTGTAGTTTTACTGTCTGTAGTATTTATGCAATTTTACAGTAAAACTAAAATTATTTCAAAATAAAAAGTACACAAGAGAATATCTGTTATAAAAAATGTATCATAAAGGGTCAAAATCCTCAAGTGAAAAGAAACATTTATTATACTTTTAAGTGAGAATAGGTTCATATCCAAAATATACCAAGAAGTTCCACAGTCCACATAAATGTTCACCAGCACACTCTGTTTTATGAGTTAGTATATGGGATTTAGACTTCAACAATGTCCAATTTATTTGGAAGAAAGTAGCCTCTTACCGACATTGCCACATTGGCATGAACAACATAAGCATGTGACAGAGTTATTTTGGTTTTTAGGAAAAGAAATTCATCTTGTTTTACCCTTCAAAGGAAAGTCAAGGCCAGATAATCTAAGATACAGGAATAGAGGGTCATGGAGAAACTACATGTGGGTGAAATGCACGAGCAGTGTTCCAAGAGATAAAGACGAAGGTCATGCAGTGATCACAGTCTGAGAGGAGCCTCAAACCCTGCAGGCAAAAGTCCCACAAGAAGACAAGGAACAATTAAAGTGTACTTTGGGGGGCACCTGGGTGGCTCAGTGGGTTAAGCCTCTGCCTTTAGCTCAGGTCATGATCTCAGGGTCCTGGGATTGAGCCCCGCATCGGGCTCTCTGCTCAGCAGGGAGCCTGCCTCCCCACCCCGCTGCCTGCCTCTCTGCCTACTTGTGATCTCTGTTTGTCAAATAAATAAATAAAATCTTAACAAAAAAAAATAAAATATACTTTGGGAAGTGTTCCTAAAGAACCACATCTTTTTCTGATGAACTTTAGCTCTCTACTAATTAAGAAAACAGTTCTAATTTTTCTCCTATCTTAGTTAACTCTGTCTACCATTTGTAGATACTTTCAGTGGAGGTAATCTGTCACAAAACTTGCCAACATACAAATTAATGGAAATATAATTTAATATGAAGTACGTTGAATTCTTTCACAGGCTTCCAAACTAATTAAACTTTGTGCCAAATGTAGTTTGTTGATAGAGGAATGTTATTTTCATCCCTATACAAGAGAGTTCGGAATGATTTTCGCTACATCTTTATAACTGTAATGGCGACAGCTCAGAGCACTTGTACTACAGCTCTTTAAAAAAGTTAACGCTCTTTGACATCCAGGGGATCCCTGCTAAGAGTTGCACAATATAACAAAAGTGGCAGGTAAATAGTTCATTGTGCCTCGAGTTGCTCCTGAAAGAGCTTAATGTAGCTTGACTTGCGAGTGAATTTGAAGGGTAAATTTGGTTGAGGGAAATGAGAAAGGGAGAATGGAGGTTGGAAAAGGCAAGATGAGGGCAAAAGCAACACAAAATTCATGCCAGGAGGACCCACCCACTGGCATGAGCTGGGTCATAAATTTGGGTAATTTTCTAGGGCATTGAGTAAGATAACTGAATGTAAAAGTCACATGTATATAAGAAATATTTACATGATTTCCAAGAGAAACAAAATGATCCTTAACACTGAGATTAAAGAATAGTATCTCCCATGAGTTCTCATAAAGGAGACGGTAGTATTATGTAACATCTCTTTAGTAAATAAAGTAGTGGGTTATGTAACTTTGGTTTTTATAATGCCAAGACAGGGTTTTACAGGAAGCCAACTTGCTATTCACTAGTTGTACTGATCTCTGCTGCTTTGCTCTAGAGGAAATAATACACTTTAGATCTCTCTGGCCATCATTAATAAATGTAATTTCCTCAGCTGACATTTTTATAACTAGTCTGTAGCAGTGAGCTTAAGAAGAAACTCAGTTCAGGGGCACCTGGGTGGCTCAGTGGGTTAAAGCCTCTGCCTTCGGATCAGGTCATGATCCCAGGGTTCTGGGATCAAGCCCCACATCGGGCTCTCTGCTCAGTAGGGAGCCTGCTTCCCCACCCCACCCCCGCCTGCCTCTCTGCCCACTTGTGATCTCTGTCTCTCAAATAAATAAAATCTTTAAAAGAAGGAGAAGGAGAAGAGGAAGAAGAAACCAAGTTCAGCTATCTGTTGAGCTAAAAGAAATATTGTGTTAACATTCAGGCAAGCTGGAAACTGAATTTATATACTTCCAAGAAAGTTGAAGTTCTGACAAAAGTTAATACTGAAGGCAAGGCCTTATCGCTACATGAAGAAGGGCAGAGGAAAAATTCTTGGGCTGGGTTAACACATTCCTCAAAGAAGTGGTTTAGTGTCTGCTGAAGCATATGGGTGAAGCGAAAATCAAAGTGACAGGTACTACTTAGTAGAGCATGGCCTTAATTACTTTATTTTTTATTTTAGTTTTTTCATACTTACTTTAGCATGGAAAATATGTTATGATATGTTATGTTATGTTGTGTTATGTTGTATATAACTGTTTTACTTAGAAAACTTTCATAAAATTCTTTAAAGTAATATAACTTCCTAGTGTTTTCTCCAAGATAAGCTGTTTGTAACATAAATACCTAGAAAATTGATTTAATTGGCTCAGAGTATCAAACATAAACCAGGTAAGAGTTTAGTGTAGGTGGGGAGAGGTTTCACCAATTCTTTAAATAATTAAATAGAAGGGTCAACTATATTAAAATTAAGATCATCCCTGGTGTTTGAACATGTCATCCATAGACAAGAGAATGCTTCAGTGTAACAAAGAATTAATTAGTGATTACAAATTTTTTAATTACCCCTTGAAATAGCTTCTAAACCAGAAAAACATTTCTACTGGATTTATAAAATCAAAATAATTTGCAATCTATTTTAAGGTCAAACCAGACTATATATCATATCTCTTTAGGAATTTAAAAGCCACACAAAGTCAATTAAACACATAGCATTTTACTATTTTCTGCACTTCATCTACAAGAAGATACATTTTTAAAAGTAGTTTCTCGGTGACTTACTATAGCTATCATTTTCTTATGTAGAACATTCATATAAAAAGTTCAGTCTTCCAGTATATGAAGAAAGAAACTTAAACAGGTAGTTTAGATGGAATGCCCACTAATCTAAAAATCTGGAGGTCAATATTTGCCTTCAGAATAAGATAGACTATATTTTGCATCCAGCCAGTGGGACTGTCCAAATAGAGTTGATGAAGGTCTTTGAATAGTTGTAGCAAATCTAGTAGTGAATCTTCAGCAGATGCTTTATTTACTTGAGATTTTTTAAAAATTGGCTCTAGACTATGACAGATGATGATTAAGGCCTTCTCAGAGAACAATCTTGGATCCCTACAAGGACAGCTGAACTTCCTTTGAGATGAAGGGATGAGAAGACAAGGCAGTTTGTGTGTCCATGTGGATGTAAACATCTTTCTAAATGAATTCTTTTTTTTCCATTTAAGATTTTCTGACATAGATTTATTTTTCCCGAGTTCAAAATAATGAATTTAAATGTGACTTAAACATAATAAAATAAAAGGGTCTCTTCTGACTATAACTTTATATATAGACATGCTATTTTGGCCAACTTTTTCTCCCGGTTTGTCCTCCTTGGGGCAAAGTATTTGAAGTTTCATTGATATGTTAGCACATCTATGAATGGCTAGATTTCTACGACTTAAGCGAAAAGTAGATTACAATTTTCCAGTTCTGAGTTCTCCCTCTACATAAATGTAATAGTTTTGGTAGCTTCATTCACTCTTTAAAGACAGTAAAATGGGATGAAGGAACAAAAATTCCCAGTAACTAGTCCTATCAAAATGCCAACATGACGGTAACTGAAGTTAATCAAACTAAAGTTGAGGATCATCAAAGATAAATCTGACCTTAGAGAAAACTGTGAAAACTACAGGGAAAATTGAAAGCTATAAGAGGAAGCAGGGAAACAAATAAGGGATAAAAGAAAACACCTTTTTTAGTAAGTTTGGAGAAAGAGTGATGGGGCTAAATGAGACTAGTATTTATATTTTTACAATTACAATGCAGTTTGGTTCCCCAAGAAATAAGGACTAGTGGGTTTATAATCAGAAGGCTATAATCAAGATACAAAAAAGAAAGAAATTCTGGATCCTAAGAACTGCTCACCCTTGGTCTTATTTTCTGAGACCTTATGAACTTCCCTTTTGTGAAGGCCCTTCATGATTCTCTTGTGTTGGAAGTGCTGCAATGAAGTCCCTTAAAAGCAAGGGATAACCAGGGGCAGATGGATAGGAACTAATAATTCTTGAACACCTATTTTGTGCCAGTCTGTGCTAGGGGATCTATGCAAGCAATGCCACTAAATCCTCAAAACAAACATAAAGTCCTGGAGGGTTTAGTGTTGCAGAGGTCAGAGAAGTTTACATGTTTAGAAGGCAGAGACCCAAATTCAGCCTGGGTTGGTGTGAGGCCTGGAGTCACACCTCTCCTCTCTGTCCTGCTTTTTTCAGGGGACGAGATAGAAATGTGTTGGAATGTGCACATCTCTTTCAGATGAAGTTAACTGTTCATCTGAACCCACAGTTATGTTTAATAAAAATATGTAAAAGTCTTCTATTTGAAAATAAACATTCCTTACTTTTTGGTTTACAAGCACTGGAGCATCACTTAAGGAAGTGGCCCAATTTACAAAGTCAGTTACATCAATCGTCTTGGCTCCTTTGAGAAGCTTCTCTTTCAGTTCATTTGCATATTTTGGGGTTCCTCCTCTTATGAGTGAAATAACGTTATCGATGATGCCATCACGGCTGATGTTTACTGGGAAGAGAAAGAGGATATAAATGAAGCATTTATAGTCCTGTGACATTTGATTAACATTTACTGAACCCTTTCATAAAGTGTCATCTAGTATATTTATTGAATTTTATTTATGTAATTTTTTTTACCCCAAATCTCTAGCAATTTTTATGAGTAGCCAATGGTGGACTTCAATTGTCTTTAAAAAATAAAAACAATATGACAGTTGAGATACATTGATGTTTCCAAGGTCATCACTTATGCACATACACACATAGGAAGTACACATGACTTTGGGCTACACTATACATTTTTTGTTTCAGACTTACCTTCATAATTGGATTTTATTAAGGTTTGTTTTAAACTACTTTAAAATTATGAAAAATCAAAGAGCGTAAAAAAGAATCAGGTGGAAAGAAAAATTTCTTTCTATCTTACATTCCTACCTATCTCTCTCCTTCAGTCTCTCTCTCCAGACTAAACCACTTTTAACAAAATTTGTGAACCTTACAGAACTGTAAAATTTTCAAACTGGAAAGGAATTTAAAGATTTTTAGTTATACTTCCTCATTTTTATAAATGAGAAAGCAGACCAGACAGGTGGAGTGACTAGCTCAAGACTAGCTTAAGGGCCAAATATTGAAATTAGGACACTTGATGGCAAGTTCAGTTTTCTTTGCATTTCGTCAATTGTTTCCAATAATGGCCACATGTTAGCGGTTGGTATGTTTTAAAGTATCAGGCTTTCTTCTCTCTGCCTCCCCACTATCATCTGATTCTTTAAAGGTGAGCCTCAACCCTTTGTATGTCTGAAAATGCTCTCAAATTAGATTAAAGATTAAGAACTCCAACACTACCTCATGCGTGTAAATATGCTAAATATTAACAATTCAAGCAACATTTATACCAAAGATATTTATATTTTTATTTATTTATTTATTTATTTATTTTTAAAGATTTTATTTATTTCTTTGACAGAGAGAGATCACAAGCAGGCAGAGAGGTAGTCAGAGTGAGGGGGGGAAGCAGGTTTGCCACTGAGCAGAGAGCCCGATATGGGGCTCGATTCCAGGACCCTGGGATCATGACCTGAGCTGAAGGCAGAGGCTTTAATCCACTGAGCCACCCAGGCACCCCGATATTTATATTTTTAAAAGGTTATGCACTGATTGAATGTTAAGGATGGATTGAGATTGCCCCTCAGTTTTATTGAACTATACTGACACACTGTAAAAGTTTAAGGTGTACAGCATAATGACTTGACATACATACACACACACATATATATATTATGTGTGTGTGTGTGTGTGTGTGTGTGTATTGCAAAATGATTATCACAATAAGATTAGTTAACATGCATCACCTCATAGAGTTTACAAAAAATTATTTTTTCCTGGAATGAGAACTTTTAGTATCTACACGCTTAGCGACTTCCAAACATATCACATGATACTATTAACTCGAGTCATCATGTTGTACATTATATCCCCAAGATTTATTTACCTTATAACTGGAAGTTTGTACCTTTTGACTGATTGGATAAAGGTGGATTGGTGGTTTTGAGTCAGAGGGAAGGCTGAGTTAGGGGAATGATTTTGGTCTTCTCCTTTCTTAAAGGTCACACAGGGTCCTGCCACTAGCCCATTTGAAGCTTTGTTAAAATAAGGGGGAAGAAAGGAGATCTTTCCTGGAGACATTTTTCTACCATTGGCCCTCTACCATTGTCATGATAAATATGCATATCTACAATGACCACCTAGTAAAGGCCTTTTCCAGAGCTGCACTCTGTGTGACCTGCACAATGCAATGAATACATGTCCGTGGGTTGCTTGTGTTTATAATGGTTTGGAAACTACTGTAAAGATAAAATAATTTTGAAGCACTTTAACTTTTTTTAAACAAAGAGTATAGACAATAAGGAGAGTTCACAGTGAAATCACAGTGCTCACAATCTCATTGACAAAAAAAAAAATCCTCCTTTTTTTTTAAAGTAGTGATTTAGGTCATACTTACCAGTATTACCGTCACCCTTCTTTAAACAACCATCTTTATTAAAATTTCCGTCGAGTTCAACTCCAGCTTTCAGAGAAAAACCCAGATCAAATCCTAGGCATCTCTGTACATCCCTTAGTTCAATACCTGTTTAATATATTTAGTTGAAAATTATTAAATAACATCTATCAACATCACAAATGAATTCTGATTTTGCTATTTTGTAAGAAATGTACTAACTGGGATTCCTAGACATTACTGAGCTCAAATTCCAGGTCATATCTGCCTTACCTTGTTCTCATATTAGAATCTAGTGGCCTCCTTTTGAATTTGCTTGTCAACTTACTAACAGAAGACAAATAAATTTACTCCTTGTCAGAAGGCAGCAGTTATAGTAAAGTCTTTTGCCTCTAAAATCATGGAATGGAGACATTGACATCTAACATACATTGAATGCTTATCATATAAACAACATCATTCTTAGCATTTCGTATGCATCAATTAGTTTAATCCTCACGCTGGCCTTTTGAAGAAGTTCTATTATGGTCTTCATCTTACTGATGAGGATATGGAATGGCAGAGCAGATAAGTAATCTGCTGGTGGAATTCGGTAATTAGCAAAGTTAGTATTTCAACCAGAATTGTCTGGTAGTTAAGCACTTCTCTGTATTGACTTCATAATTGGGTCGTGGGAGGCATCAATATCCCATGATCATCTTTAGAAGACTGTTCATTATTAAGGTAGCTAGTTTATTGCTTTAAGCAGGTGGCTTATAGAGATGATAATTTTATTTTGGTCCTATGAATGCTACTTAGTAGATATCAGTCTTAGAAGCTGATTCACTGTGGTATGTGGATGCCACAGTTCCTAGGAAGAAAAATCCTAATACTTAATTGAAGTATATAATTTATTATCTATTTAAAAGAGAGAATAATTATTTTGATTTAAACTACCTCAGTTCACTGACCATGTTGGTTTTTGCTCTTATTTATCATTTCAGATCGTATACACACACATGCCAAAATGCTTTATGAAAAAGGAAAGGGAGAAGTTAAGTTAAACCTAGGGTTTCATGGTTAAATTTAGAAGTTGGGATCTGGGAACATTCAGGAATTCATTTATTCAACAAATATTTTTTGTGTATACACAACTAGTGAGAACTTGAAAAATGTCAGGTGGCTTTCCTCATGAGAAAGGGAGAGGGTGGATAAAAATGGAAGACCACCCTAGAAATCCAGAATACTAAATTTCCAACTGTAACCTAAGAGGCATAAAGACTTCGATTCTGAAGATGGGGCTGAAAATACCTAAGTGATCCCAACAAGCTTAGATTCTCTCCCTCCTCTGTGGATCATGAAAAAAATGTTTCGACAGGGTCTGTACATCCCAAATCTAGGTGTAGGACATGGCTTGGTTCTCAGGTATTTCCAATGAAGAAGTAAGAAAGATGACTTTCCTCTCAAAGGTACCAGAACTGACCTAATGATCCTTGTCTACTAAGGCCAGATGCTAAATAAATTTAAGTTGCTAGGTCTGAGTTATCCAAGATTAAAGATTTCAGCCCATGACGCTTTTTCTCCAAAGCAACTCTTAGCTTGAAGTATTCCTTGTGTTTTGATCATCCTTGCTGAGCCTTTCCCTTCTGATTTTCAAGTTACTCAAGACATAGTCCTCTTGTACCCCTCATCCATGTGATATCTATCAAAATAGCCTACCAGGCAAGACTCATGAAACTTCATTATTCTATCTCACAGGATATAGCCCTGTAGGGCAGTATAAGCCAGATAAACTCATATTCACTCCCCCTGTCTATGTTTCTCCCTGCTCAAGACTGAGGCATCAAGAACAATTTGTTCTGGCCCAGTCATATTGGTTCCATCTATAAAGCGCTTATCAACTGTGTGGGCAATGTCATTCTTTAAGCTCATAGCCATATCCCATTCTTCATATGACACAGAGGCTACAGGGAAGGACCGATGGAAAAGGTTTTGGGCAACACTTCCCTCCCTAAGAGATACACTGAAAAATGCTGAGGGTGGAGAAAGGAGATATGCTGGCACTTATCTCCTCTTTAAGGAATATTATAACTAGACGTAATGACTCACAAAATAAATAATTAAAACTTATTAACACAGTCACTTTGCATCTACTTTATTCTTAAAAATCTTAAATGAAGCCATTAGGCCAGTATGGTAACTGTGTAGTACATAGACCTTTCCTGTATATGTGGCAGACATTGATGGTCAACCGTAGCCTTCTTTCCACGTTTCAAGCGTGGTCAGGAATCCACCCAACATGGACCCAATTCAACTACCACCTTGTGATTAGACTTGTCATAAGATGAAGTAAACTGATTTTCTACCCTTGCTTTAAGACACTATATGTATACAATCTTAACATTACTTTCTTCCTCCTCCCTAAAAGAAATTTAGAACATCATTTTACTTCCAATATTGAAGAACCCTTTGGAAGATGATTGTCATGCATATAATTGAACCGGTTTATTGATTAAGAAATAGATTATATAAATTATGTCTCTTGAAAAAAATTATGTCTCTTGTACTTTTTTCACATTTTAAGAAGAATTTCACTAAAAGCAGTATCCCAAACTGATATTAAATTACAGTATAATTTTGTTAATTTCTCAATAGTGCATGACCAAGTCATCTTGTTTAAGATAGAAGTCAATTTATTATCTGATAGGGTTTTAGATGCCCAAGGGAAGGGAGAGCATTCTCTCAAAGAAGCAGGTTATAGGACTTTATTTTAAAGCCTTTAGCCATTGAGAGAGATTAGCAAAAGGGGTAATGATTGGTTAAAACAGCATTAGAAGTTAGAAATCTATTTCCAAGTATACCTTTCTCTTTCATGGATGTTTTATCCAAAACATATATTAGTTCATAGAATCCTCCTAAAGACCCAGAGCTACTGTAGTGGGTTCCATAGGTTTCCAAAAATGCAAAATATTCCCCCTTTGCGTAGGTACTTGGCAGAGCTTTTATATCATCCAAGAAAGTTTTTGTCAGAACGACATCCCGACTTCTCATCACAAATCTCCCCAGTTGAATTTCTCCTTTCACAAGCAGAAACATTTTTTCCTTGGTTGTATAACAGAAGGAAAAAAAAAATGAGTTTCATCACCACTATTTCAAATTTAAAAATCACAAAAATAAAAAAAATCACAAAAACTCACAAAATTTAAAACTTTAGAACCAGGCAATAAATGTTTTAGCAGTGACCATAGATGACCACTTTAACCCAGTAGGGTGACAAACTCAAAATGCGATTAGTCTGCACTGTTGATGAAAATGGGCAGCAACTGGAACTTTCAAGCACTGCTGGTGGGAATGTACAACAGCCTGATCGCTGTGGAGAACCGCTTGGCAATTTCTTATAAAAATAAATACACATCTACCCTGTGGTCAGCAATTCCATTTCTACTTAGTTACCTAAGATCAGTGACAAAATAGTCCAAAATAATCCACAAAAAGATCTATATGAGACTTTAGGAGCAATGTTAGTTAGAAGAGCTTAAAACTAGAAACCACTCAAATGTCCAGAAATAAAAGAATTGATCAACAATTTGTGGTATGTTCACAAAAAGGAATACTAGTTAGCAATACAAAGGAACAAACTACCGATAGATGCAACAACATAAATATATCCCAAAAATATTATGCTGAATGAAAAGAGACACAAAAGAGTTTGTACTGTATGATTTCATTTATATGAAGTTCTAGACCAGGTGAAATTAAGCTATGGCCAGAGAAATCTGAAGAGTGGTTGCTTCTCAAGCAGTAGGGGATTGACTGAAAAGGGCATGAGGGAATTTTCTTGAGGTGATGAAAATGTTCTACATCTTCCTTGATAAAGTGATTACACAAGTGGATACAAAAGTCAAAGCTCATGGAACTACAGGCTTAAAATATTTGCTACTTGCATTTTATCGCTTGTAAGTTATACCTCATTAAGTTGATTATAAAATGTTGACAATGTAAGGAAAGGTAAACATTCTATATGCAGCCCAATTTTGCAGACAGGAAAATTCTGATCCAAAGGTATCTAGTTATTTGCCCCAAATCACAAAAATAGTCTGTGGCAGCGATTAGTACCACAAACCTAGGTCTCAGGTCTCCCTGCTCCTTCTACTACATCTTTACAATTTTTGATAACAAAGATAGGGTAGACAACACTTTTAAGACATGCAAACTAAATAAGTGAATAGTTAAGCATTCCTAGGGATGATGGCTTCAATTTCCAGGAGAAAACAGGCAGTGACAAAGAACTATGTGTTTCAATGTCCCATACTGTCCCAGTCAAAACTAAACTACAATGGACACTTACGATTTTGTAGATGGTTCATTTAAGTTTCTCCTGCTATAGTTGCAGTTAACACATGTTGATTGCATAGAAGTTTAAAACATTTTACTATTTTTTAAAGTATATCTTGGTGTATATGAACATCACACCAAACTTCCTGTGTTTTAGAAGCACAACTGTTCACACTGTATGACTTTAGGTGATGGTCAGTGATTCAGTCTTCAACAATAATCTTAAAGAAACTTACTCCATACCTAATTAAGTCATATGAATTCACCTTCTGATGACCTGCAAAATAATTCTCATTGGAGTCTCAAAGGTGCACAAAACATATTTGGATTCCTTTTCATTGTTGCTAAAATTAGGAGGTATAACTGTAAGACAGATGTTAATGTTCTTTGGCTCAACTTATTTCAGAGGTAGGTCTTAGATAATTTCCATCCAAACATAAAGTTGTTCCTTCCATCTTAGATAATAAATACAAAATCTCTTGGCCTCACTTGTCTAATCATTTGCTACAAATTTCTTTGTCTTCATTAGAAGTGAAATTCCTTTAAAGAATTTTCCATACTGACTGTTTTCAATTCCTCTAAAATCTAATTCAGTCATGCAGCTCTGCTTACGACTTCAGCAAAACTTCTCTTGTCAAGGTCACCAATGACCTTCACAATGCTAAAGCCAGCAGTGGTTACTTCTTAGTCCTTCTTTTTTGACATATTAACACATTTGACACAGTTCATTACTCCTTTCTCTTTGATAGGGTTTATTTTCTTATCTTCTAGGGCAGTTCCTCTCACATTATGAAGTGTAGACAGATCACCGATAGAATCTACCCATAAAATGCAATTCTGATTCAGTAGGTCTGTGTTAGAGGCTGAGGTTCTAGCTTCCCAGTGATGCTGATCCATGGACCACACTTTGAGTAGTGAGGTTCTAGGGCGTTATTGCCACTTCTTGCTGTCCTCTGCCAGTTCTTCCTCTTTTGCCAGACCTTTTCTCTTTCTGTTGAAATTTCTTAAGTCTTGGATGTTCCCTTTTCTATTTACATTAACTCTTAGGAATCCCACCAAACCCTAAGACTGTAAACACTCCCTACATATGAACAACTCCCAAACTTACAGCTCAATCCCAAATCATTTTGCCAAATTCCAGACTTATAACACCAACTTCCTACTTCACGTCTCCAAGTGAATGTCTAATAGGCATCTCAAACTTAATCTAAAATCGAACTATCATTTTTCTTCTTTCAACCTGCTCTACCTAAAGTGTTCTCCATCTCAGTTGGTAGCAATTTCCAGCCTTCCAGTTGCTCAGGCCCGAAATCTTTGACTCGTGCTTGACTCTATACCTGTTCTAGCCATCTGCACACAACTGGATTCCTGCAATAGCTTTCAACAAACCTTCTTACTTTTGCTCTTCACTCTCGTAATTTCTTCCCATTTAAAATATACTAACATGTGTCAGTCTTCTAGTCAAAAATTCTACCGACCTCCCATGTCATTCAGAGAAAAAGCTAAACTCAGAACAGGCTGTGAGGCCGTTCATGATCTGGTTCAGTGTAAACTTTCTAACTCATTCTCTTCTGGTTCACTTTGGCCCAATGGGCAGATATGTTCCCACCTTAGAGACTTGTCTCTAACAGCTCCTTCTGCCAGATACGTCATCCAAACTATGACTATTTGGCTATTTCTTCTCCTTCAAATCTTCGCTCAGATTTCATTTCCTTAATGAAGTCTACCCTGAACTTTCTTTTTAGTATTGCCCTTGCCTAGCACTCCTGCTTTCCCTTGTGTTATTCTATTTTTTGCTTTATTCCATGGCATTTATCACTTTCTAAATACTATATATCTTGCTTTTTTGCTATTAGGTTTATTTTGTCTATCTCTCCCTGCTGAACTTTCAGCTCCATGAGGACAGGAATCTTTTTTAGTTTGGTTCACAAATGTATTCTAAGCCCTTGAAACAGTGCCTGGCCACATAAGAAAGCCACATTAAATATTTGTTGTATGATTTAAAGGATTTTCCAGCTGCATAATATGGATGGGTATGCATATTAACATAGAGATGAGGTAGAGAGCCATTCAAAACAATTGTATGATTAGGCACAACGTAAGTACTAAAAGTGAATTATTATTATTTTTAAAAGAGGAGAGGGTATCTAAACATGTGACTGTGTTATCAGAAAAGGAAAAATGAACGTTTTGCCGGCATCATACTGATTACAGAAAGTGTTTTCTGTATTTCAAAGGCGATGAAACAAAATTCTAAATCTGACTTAAATATTAAAGGACAAACACATTTTCAAAGCCCTAAATTAAATGTATGATAACAAAGTAAGCAGACCAATGTCATATGCAATGTGTACAACAATTTCATGGCCTAATTACTTTAGAGATGCTTTCCAGTAAGTAAATAGTCATCAGTGTAAGGCATTGTGATGAATTACCCAGATTCCTCAGTCTGATTCTTCATTGTCATTCTGAAGGTGGTATAAATTCAACAGTCCATTGCCACAATCTCAGTCCAAAAGTGTGCTCCGAATTCTTAATACGCTTGTTCTTCTGTTCATCACCATCAAACATCTCACCCCTTTATATTAGAACAGATCCCAGGGCCTCTTCTGCAGTTAGCATTCTTCTTCCTGAACTCCTAGCCACACATTTGGGGATTTGTCGAGTATTTTTTTTTTCCTCTCTCTTCAGTGAACTCTATTTGCTCCAAACACTTAAACTTAAAACAGGGGGTTTGGTTAGTTTGAAAAATATCCCATTATATCCTTTGTTTTAAGCTTTGGTCTTACCGTTTGAGAAGAACGTGAGAGTAAGTGCTGGTAAGTCTCATTTTTGGAATATCTGAATCCAAGTTTGCCCCCAACTTCTTTAGGATGGGAGGAATTTTTGTGAGGAGACTTTTCTTCTTTAGGCATACATTTATACTTTTTAATTGCTTCAGTAGGTGTGAATTTTAAAGTTACTCCTGCATTAATATTTGATGTCGTCTCTTGGACAACGGTTTTGAATACCTCCATCTGTTCTTCATAACTTTCAGTTCTGAAATTTTTATCGGCTTTGGTCTAAAAGAGAATGATGAAATGCTGTTAAAAACAACATACAAAAAACCACCCAAACAGACACAGATGAAAGAAAAGCAATTATTTGAAAGGTATTTGAGCAAGGGAGTTAAGAGTGAAACACCCAAGTGACATCTCTGAGCTCTGATAGGGATTCCATGACTCTGAGGACAGGACACAGGAATCTCATTGTGGGTCTGATTCCTAGTCTATGAAAAAGAAATACCACACACAGCCCAAAGGCTGTTATGAGATAATGCAGTGAGATAATATATATGAAAGGCTTAGAACAGAGCAAGCTTTCAAATGTTAATCTGTTAATAATTAAAGAGCAATTTGCCTAACAGATGTACAATATATTACCATTTGTGTAAAAAAAGAAAGGAAGAAAGAAATGATAAAGCCAACCCTGACTGAAGGCTAGCACAGCTTTGAATATTTTACACATGTTAATTAATTTAAGCAGAAAGGTTAAGACTTGAGCTCTGCACTCTCAACCTTTACACTCTCTTGTCCCTTAGTACATACATATACACATAAATAAATAATTAAAAAAAACAAAAACAAAAAAACTAAAAAAAGAAAGAACAGGAAAGCAAGCAAGCTAAGAAAGGTTTTTATGTGCACCCAGAATTACTGGAAAAATCGACAAAGCTAAGTGTTTGCCCTTGAGAAGTGTAACTGTGAAAGGGAAATCTGGATTGGGAGCAGGTTTATATTTCCTTGCATAATCTTTTGTGATGTTCAGACTTTTTGACTGTCTTTTTTTTTTTTAACAATTGTTTTGTTTTGTTTCCATGTTTTGCATGGAAACAAAACAAAACAAAACATACAAACAAAAAAATACCCAAACTAAACAACCTAGTTAAAAATTGAAACTTTCAGTTAAAGAATTCTTTGTCAACTTGACAATTGTCAGGCATCAGTGGGAGGTTTGTCAATTTCAGTGGTTAAACTCTTTCCAGAGGTCCTCTGCAATATGTTGTAACTTTTGCCTGAAAAGGAGCCACCTATCTCTTCAGTCAGTGGCACAGATTGGATTCGTAGTGTACATTGGGGGACAGTTCTGCACAGGGAATGCTATAGTCTGAATGTTTATGTCCCTCCACAAAATCCATACATTAAAATACTAATGCCCGTGGTGATGGTTGGGCAGAGGGGGAACTTTGGGAGGAGGCTTCATGAATGAGGTTAGTGCTGTCATAAAAGTGACCCCACAGAGCTCTGTAACCCCTTCCACTATATGAGGATGCAAGAAGTCTGTAGCCCAAAAGAGGGCCCTAACTCAACCAGACAAACACTCTAATCTCTGACTTCAAGAACTTCTGATGTTCTCATCTTCAGAATTGTGAGAAATAAATTCCTGTTTTTTTTTTTTTTTTTTTTTTTTTAATTTGAATTTTAGCTACCCTGTTTCTGGTATTTTATTATACTGGCTTGCATAGACTCAGACAGGGAAGCTAAAGTTCCCATCTAATGGGAATGACTAAAATGTATATAATTTTCATTAAAGTTAGGCATGCTGGGAAAAGTGCTCAATGTAAAGGGTTGAGTAACCTAACCACGTCACTTCCCTGTTTAAAATCTTTCAGTCTTCCCACTGCCTTTAAGATCAAGTCTAAACTAGACTTATTCCAAGTTAATCTCTCCCTGACTGTATTCCAACCCTTTAGACACATTTTTTTTTTTTTTTTTTTCAGAGCCTGTGCTTCTTCCCACCACAGAGCTCTTTTATGCTGCTTTTACTTTCTGGAATGTTCTCTGACATCTGCCTCTCCCACACCCCCCCCCAAGAACCTAACACAACACATTCTCTCACATATACACACTATATGGCTTGACCTGGTTAATTTCTACTCCAATTTCAAGTCTTAGCTTAAAAATCACTTCTTCAGGGTTGAAGGGTTCTTTCCTAATCCCATAGACTATGAATCCATTTTCTATAAGCTCTCATACCTCTTAAAAAAAAGAAAAAAAAGCAGGGTGCCTGGTGATGCAGTTAGTTAAGTGTCCAGCTCTTGGTTTTGGCTTAGGTCATGATTCCACAGTCCTGAGATTGAGCCCCATATTGAGCTCCCCACTCAGTGTGCAGTCATCTTGAGATTCTCTCTCCCTTTGCCCCTACCCCCTGCATGCTCTCTCTTTCTCAAATAATAAGTAAAATTTTAACAATAAAACAAAATGAAAAAGCTTTTCTTTTATGATTGCTTATTTAATGGAATTTCTGATGGTAAGCTCCAAAAAGTCAGGGAACATGTCTTTCTTATCCACACACCACTATAGCCTTATCACTTAGTAAAGTGTCTGGCCTATAGTAGATGCTAACAAAAATTTATAAACTTTGATATAGCTAACAATAATAACTAACATTTACTGAGTGCTTACTCTATGCTAGGGGCTGTTAAAAGTGGTTTACATAGAATAAGACATTTAATTTCTTACCTTTAACATAATTTCTGTAATTATCCTCATTTTACCAATCAGAAAATAGGTTAGGAAATTTGTCCAAGCTCGCACAGCTAGCTTTGAAACCCAGAAAGTCTTATTCTAGGGATTAGCTGTTAATTCTTATGCTACCCTGCCAAAGAGGGCTTGACAAATCCTGGCTAGTAAAATAAAGGATTCATGGAAAAGATTGCCTTGAACTTGGCCTTGAAAAATGAATAGGATTTCTGTTGCTTTGAGATCTGAGGATAGTGGAAGTGTTGCTGGGTGAACTGGTGAGACTCTGGGCTCTAGGGCCTCGACCAGCCCATCCTGAATGAGTCCTTGAAGGTTCTTGGTCATGACTCGGAAAAGAACTCGAGGACAGACACTCAGCACAGAGGATGAGCATCGTAAGTGCGAAAGTTTATAAAGTGAAAAGTACACTCTCAAGATAGGAGAGCAAGGTGAGCTTGAGTGAGAGTTTTGCACACTTGGGTTTCTATCTTTTATTGACAGCTGTTAACTAGAGGGTAGAATATTTATTGGGTTGGGAAGCAGGGATTTGCACTTTTTCTTTTAATTTTGTCAGGGGTTTCCTGTCATGGCACTTGCCATCTTGGGCCTGTCTGGTTTGCTCTGGCTTCTTGTAGAGTGCAGCAGGATAGGCCCCTGAACTTCCTGACAGTGGGCCATGACTTCCTTGTTGCTAACTTCTAGGTATCCTGTTAGAACCTAACTGCCCACTCTAATAGGAGCCACTGAAGACAATTCTACTCCATCTTCAAAGCTGGAAAGGGACAGAGCTGAAAAAAATGTCACCAGAAAAGTACTCCTTGACTCTCCTGCAAGGCCAAGCTCTTCTTAGCTTCCTGTGTGCTAATTGGCTGCAGGATAAGGGTGGTGTAATTTGTAAGCACCTGCACTTATTCCTGACATGGCTAAGAAGAAAGAGGCCTTGGCAGAGATCAGTTTAGCGTGTGGAGAATTGTTGGCAGGTGTAAGAGAACATTGGTCAGGGTTCCGTTAGGAAGCTGTTGGATGGTCCTGTCTGACTCTGCTAGGATAACAGTAGTGAGTAGAGTCTGAAACAGCAAAGATGGGGTCAGTCCAAAAAGAGGGCTCAGTTCAATGACAGACAGTCAGAGATGGACCAATACTGGGAATCATCATGAAGAAAGAGCAAAAAATCTTTGAAGAGAGGCCAATGATGCAAGGATAGAAGCAAATTTCTTTATGAAAACTCAAATAAGCAGACATGGAGAAGATGAAATATGAGAGAGGGACAAAGGGGTTTGCATGTTCCAGAAGGTCATGCATATTATAGGGGTCAGCTCAACCTGTCCTTTTTAAAGGTTTATGCAACTGATGCTTCTTGAAAAGAAAGAAACATTATTTCTGGAACTGAGAGTGGAAGAGATAGAATATAACCAATAAATATTTCAGAGTTCAAATTGAAAAGAAGAAGGTGGGAGAGCAACTGGAAATAGAAGGTAAAAAGGAAAAACTGTTAAAGATGCAACTAAGACTTTGTACAGATAGATAATAAAAACATGCATTACTTATTATGATTATTAAAGACATGTCTCACTAATTGAGAGAAGGAACCTGGAAAGAGTAGATTGACTGCCATCTCATCAGCCACCCTCGGCCACAGTACAGAGAGAAGCCACCCACACACTCCCAACATTTTAGCTACTAAATTTTGGGGTAATTTGAAATTTAGTAATAGGTAACAAATATGATCCTTCTCCATTATCTTCAAGAGATCATTTTCTGTGTTTGTATCTGAAATGTTAATGTGCTCTAGGTTTCATTCTCGATGTTCTTTTCTCTCTCATTGTACACTTCCTTGATGATCTCAAGGATTCTCAAGATTCTAATGGTCATCCATATGTTGATGCTTCTTAAACTGCCTCCATTTCAGATCCTTATTTCTCCCCACACATCTATATAACATACTTTTTGCAAGATCTCTTCATCTAGATGTCACATAGAACTTTGCATTCAAAATTACCAAAATTCAAATCATTGTCTTCTTCTTGGACTTGACTTTGACACTTCTTTTGGAAGATTCCTCCCTCCCTGACTTCCAAGGTCTTTTTTTTGATGGTCTGTCTTCCAGTGGGAGTGTCTGACTTTCCGTCTCCATACTTTACATCCATGATGAGTAAGTATCCTTTGTTATGGCTAGATGTTGTTCTAAGCACTTTGCACTTATTAACACATTTAACCTTTCCAAAATCTTATGAAGTATGTATTATTGCCACCCCACTGTATGATAAACTGAGATTTTGGAAAATAAATAAGTTGCCTAATGTCCCATGGATAAGTGGAGGAATTTAGCAGAATTTAAACCCAGGGAGTTTTCATTTAGAACCTGTCAATTGACCATAATGTACAGTGTCACCAATTCATTAGTGACCTCTTTGTTCTTAAATATGCCAGATTAAAAAAAAAAAATGCTGGATTTCATTTCTTCCTTTTAGTCTCTACTACTATAGTAGAGTTTAGTCTTTCTTCATTTCCTTTTTGGACCATGAAATAGCCTCCTTCTGCCGTTACCTCTCTGGTCTTGT